TTACTTATTAATCTGGAATTTTTCAGTTCAAATACCATTTTGTCCATGGATTTCCTAAAGGACAAGCTTCCAGTTTTCATGCAATTATAACACATTCATTCATTCCTTCATTTCTCCTCAAACTAAAACATTATTTGGGTCCCTAAACATTATACTTTGGGTCTGTGCCATCTGACACAAATACAATGCAAATATAAATGATCAATACAAATACATACAAATGAACATAATGCAAATGATAAATGTGTGACCTTTCCAACACATTTGAAACATACCTTTCTTACATTTATACCTTGCTCAACCCCACTAGTTTCTTATGTGGCCACATAAAAGAACAATGATGCCTCAAAGATTAAAGGAGATATTAAAACACTATCATGTATCTATCTATCTATCTATCTATCTATCTATCTATCTATCTATCTATCTATCTATCCATCCATCCATCCATCCATCCATCCATCCATCCATCCATCCATCCTACTTATATCCCACTACAGTCAAAATCACTCATGGCAGTTTATGGAATATAAAGTAAAAATAAAAATATTGATGGTTATATTAAAACTAATCCAAATCATAATATCTATAATAAGAATGATCACATCAAACCCCACATAAAAACTTAAAAAGGAACAATAACACAAAATGGCATCAAGTGAAAACTTACGAAACCACATGGGCTAAACATTTTGGCTACAATATACAAATGGATCAATGGGAAAATATGTGGTTAGAAGGACTGAAATTTAGATTATGTTCTAACCTTAAAGAGAATTTTTATAAGATAATATATTGTTGGTATTTGTCTAGAATGTATAAAGCTACTTCGAATCTTTGCTGGAAATGTGAACAACATGAAGGGACATTTTATCATGTATGTTGAATGCGTAAAAAAGCCAAAAAAAAAAAAAATTGGATACAAATAAATACACTAAATCAGAAGATTTTAAAGACTAATGTATAATCGAAACCAGAAACTTTTCTTGGGGGATGGACAACTAGAAAAACATCATGGAACTTCTATATATGATGACTGCAGCAAGATTACTATATGCTCAAAAGTAGAAAAGTTCAACACTACTCACAATAGAGGAATGGTTGGTGAAGATGATGAAACTTGCAGAGATGGCTAACTTTACTTCCTTGATTAGAGAAAGGACAATATCTACATTTATGACTGTCTAGAAATCCCTTATAGACGTTTTGCATGAAATAGAAAAAAATACACTTATGACTTCTGGTTTTGATGATTAGAAAAAAAATTAGATAATAGAAAAAGGTGAACTTTTTTTGTAATCATAGAGGAGGAGATAACAATAATCATACTTATATTTGCTGCAAAGGAAATGAGATCTTTTTATCATTTCTTTCTGCACTTTTGTCTTTTTTTCTTTTCTTTCTCTTTTTCTTTGTTTTCTTTTTCTTTCTTAGTTTGTGTTAGTTTTATGTTCTCTTTAAAATGTTTAAATGTATATATTGCCACAGAAAAACAGCTACTTCTAGATTCAGCCCATCAAAGCTCTTGAAAATATGGGATTATAAATTAAATAGTACTATATAGGATATGAGCCTATTTGAAGTATGCTCTAGCCTCTGGTTGTGTTTAAAATGAAATTAAGGAACCTCTATGATCATGGTATTTTTGGATTATCATAAATGAAAGCTATATTTAATAAATTTCCATTTGTGCCAGGAAATGTTACATTATACACACATTTACAAACTTAGTTTTAAAATGTGACGCATGTGACCATGTGGTTATAATTAGCCTAGTTTGCAAATATACTTTTGTCACAGTCCAGGTAACTTTCACTACCAATTGTTTTATTTCCTTAAAAGGACCCTTCACACACACACGCACATACACACATGTACAGAGAGTGTTGGACACACTTACAACTCATGTAATTCTTTGTTAAATTTGCAAGTTGGCAATTTAATTGCCAGAAGAATGCCAAATATGCAGAGCCATTTTCCCCCAAAGAATATACAGTAATGCACAGTTGCTATGATTTCTTGTCTCACTTATTGAGGACACAGTTATGTAATACCCTATTTCCCTTTAATTTTACATTTCTAGCAGTACATATGTTTAAAGAATTGCCTTTTTACGAAGGAATATGAATTTAAAATTTCAAATGGCTGGCCTCTAATTAAACATTACTACAACAAACCATTATAATAAGCTTAAATCATTTTGGCAAATCAGATGTTCATTTCTGTTAAAGCAGCTCCTTTTCTGTGATTTATTAGGTATCATTATTGACCAAATATTCTGTACCCTTCCCCCAAAACATATTAAATGATGAAGTAAAACACACTAGCAACATAATTTTATTGCAACACCAATGTGACATGTTATGAACAAAGAAATATTATTCTCAGTTAAATAGAATAACTAACTGAAGGATTTCACGGGCTCCCAAAATATTCAAAGAAGCTTTAATCTCATCCAGCAGGAAACTGCAAAATTTGGAAGTAATTATTGCAAAAGGCTTAATAGGGCTAGCCTGATTACTGTTTGCCTAAGACAGCCAGCTCAGCTAGCCAGTTACTAATTCCTGAAAGATGGAGAAATGGTGGCTGCATCTTTTCATTGTTGTTTCTCTTGAGCTCATAGCCATTCCCATTCTTCTGAGGTGACCCACACTGCATATATTTTTAATGTTCTCTCTCTCTCTCTCTCTCTCTCTCTCTCTCTCTCTCTCACACACACACACACACACACACAGTTCCTCCAGTTAGCAAATTCAGTTACAGAGAAAAGTGATTATCTGTCCTTCTTCATAGAATATATTCCACAGGGTAGCAGAAACCCATTTGATCAGTGACTCATTAACTAGGGATGCCATTGTACTAATCTCTATGGAACTTCCTGGTTGCAATAGAATTACATTTGGTTGCAAAGTTCTGTAACAAATGGTTTGCGGGGTGTGAGTGTTGTTGTCATGGCAATTGGGGAATTGTGTCTCAGAGATGGCATGGCATAAACAGCAGCTAGAGATCAAAGGAGGAGATAACCTGTTGCCATAGACAGGCAAGGGAAGGATGAGATTCTTTTTGCCCAAGAAAGTAAAAATGCCAGAATTAAGTAAATTGAAGGAGACACTTAAGGAATTAGTGTATAAAAATGTTGAGTGATGTGCGCAATCATGGAACAGTGTGGGGAAAAGAACTGGGGGAGTGTCTGAAAGGGTTTTAGCCAGAACAGCTAAGAAGTGCCATGGGAAGGAAGAAGTGAACAAGGGTAGAATAGCAGTAGTTTAGAGGAAAGGTAGCCTAAGGGTTGCGGGAGGATGGACTACAAAAGAATTTAAGGAATCAAAAGAAAAATGGGGACATTTCTTCCACCTGGCATCAGGAGGAAAAGAGAGGCAACTTAGGAGATAGCAAAAAAGTAAGGAGGAAATAGAAGTTTTTCTCTCTGCAGTAGGTCTGCTCAGCAGGGATCCTTTCTTTTCTGCAGTAGAAAGAAGGGGGACCTAGGGACACAGGAAAGCAAGGAGTTTTGGTTGGCAGCAACAGCCCACAAAGGACAGGAAGGCCTGGCGTGATATAGTTCATGGGGTCATGAAGACTCGGACATGACTTAACGACTGAACAACAACAACACCCCACAAGAGGAGAGGCATGGCTGATGGGGTAGATAGCAAGAAAAATGCAGCTTGGCATTGAGGCCAGAAATAGCCATTTGAGTAGTGGGATCACACAAAGGGAAAGACAGTTCAGGTGGCTGAAGAAGCCAGCTGTGGTGAAGGTTGCGGTGAGTGCTAGAGGGAGAAGCAAAGCTTGGGTTGTTTAGCTGGGGTAGGTGGTCAACCTGTTTAGTATGTACTATGCATTTAATAGTGTTTCTCAAACTTGGCAACTTTAAGATGTGTGGATTTCAACTCCCAGGATTCCCCATGGTTGGCTGAGGAATTCTGGGAGTTGAAGTCCACACATCTGAAAGTTGCCAAGTTTGAGAAACACTATTAAATGCATATGGTGTCATTAAAACTTCAAACCTGCAGCAGAGAGATCCAAAAGTAACCCTAAGATAAAGAGAGCTCCAAAAGCATCTAGACAGTATGTGTGAATGCATGCAGTCAAACCTGTGCATAGGGATAGAAGCTGAATGCTACACTGATTTCTAATAGTTTATTTATCTATCAGTTTTATAGGTCTGCCCATCTATTCAATGAAAATCTGGGTGGTGAACAAAATAAAAACATAACACTCCATTGAAACCCAAAATAGATACAGTATTTGTCTTTTGTAATCATTTAGTCTAAAGCTGCATGAATAATATTAGTAGTAAATGTTCCAGTTGCCCAGGAGGTAGATTTATTTTATTCAAATATCCCTGGAAGGGAGGAGAAAATTGAGCCCCTTTGAGTTACACCCATTGCATTGGCATCAGGCATTGCTTAGAGAATAGGGCCTAAGAGTATAGTGACATTCATGGAATAACCAACACTCACTGGATTAAATAAAAATTTGTTTTTATTTTGTGTATTAGTTGTTAGCTGCCCAAAATTATTTATTTAAGATAGGTGGCCATATAAATATTATAAATACATGAATAAATCCATGTCCGGAAACTTATTCTACAATTGAGGGTAAGAAGGGGAGTGTGCATTATTAATGTAAAGGACCAGTCAGGCTATTTGCTCTGACCTTGCCCAGTTTAGCCATAGGTATTGTGAAGCCTTTGAAATAAAAATCTCTACAGTTACATTACAGAATTGATAATTATTCAAAATGCAGCTGACTATTGCAGATTGAAAATATGGATCGATGCATGAAGCTGAACACACACTCAGGAAAAAAAAAACTTACAGTTTCTAGCTATAATATGTCTAATCCTGAAATCATTTAAAGGGCAATTCACTAAATATATAGATATATAGAAAAAGCACAAAGTCCACTGCTTTCTGTCCACAGGAAAATCAACTGACCCAAACAGATAGTTCTGCTTCCATTTGTCAATGAGAGTATTCCTTCTTTTCTTCATCTTGATTTTTTTTTTTTTTTTTAGGGAGAAGGAGATCACATCTAGCATTCATTTGCTTATGCCCAATTTCCAAGTCTGTCCAGTCAGATGATTCTGTTGAAAAAAATTAAGTGATAGTGAGTTTAGGAATTAGCATTTCTGATTTTTGCAATTCAAATAGTTTTTTTTTCCTCACATCCCACTTTCATTGCCCAAAGTTTTATCTTTGTTTTTCCCTTATATTTCTTCTCAATGTCTTCTTGCTTCTTTCCCTAGAGTTTTCTTTATTTACTGCAAGGTTTGCTTCTCATTTGTGGCCTTAAAATCTGGTTTAGATGGTGTTAGAGATATACTTACCTGTGTCTAAACCAGAAGAAATGCATCCACTTTCCCACATTGGAAAAAGAGGAGGTTACCTAGAATGCTACTTATCTTTCAGGTCTTGTTCTTGATAGCAAATGCCTAAAGAGACTGAGAACTTACTGGCTGGGCTTAAGACTTATCTGGAATGCTCTGATGGCAATGAATAATGGTAGAATAGACGTTGTGGACTAACTAGTTTGGCAGGTATTGTTTCCCTTGCTGTTCATTGTGCTTTATTCTAGCTAGTTCTTCTTCCATGAGTATTGCTATGTGTCATAACCAGGGTTCTTAACCTTCAGGGATAACAGTGAATGGGACAATGTTATAATACCGCATAGCCAGTTAGGTATCTCTGCATGATAATATCAAGACATGTATGTTAAAATTAAAGAAAGCAGCACAGCAGTCTTTGGCCAACTAAAGTTTGTCTTATTAAAGCTTCCCCCCACCCCCTGGCTTTTGCAGCTTCAATTCATTCATGATTATCACAGTGGAAAAAAAAATAGTGCTGTAAAAAAGCAGCATGATGTAGCAGTTCAATAGCGTACTGAACTCCTTACTTTTTCTTGTTGATAAGTTCACGCCTCTGAAATTAAACTCATGTTTCAGAAAATATTAAATGCCAACACTGAATTTCATGTACAACAAACAAGCTACCAAATAGTAGCAAAAATACTTGCCTGGCCCATCAAGCTAATAGGACCAAAAATGATAGGTCATCAAAGGCCAAAGAGATCCTGACATATTTTAGGGAGCAACTGATGTAGTGCAATCAGTCATGGCTACTTGTTCACCATGTTCTAGAACACAGGGTGAAGCAGAAACTATTCTATCACCTTTTCCAAAAGATCAGCAGTCTTCATTCTACTCTTGTTATCAAGTGTTATCAAGCAGAAAGCAAATTTTGTGGGCTGTACAGCAAAGGAATATCAAAGAAAAGCTGTTTCTTCCCATCTATTGGGAGATCAGGTACTTTGGAATCTTCCCAACAGTGATCAAATCAGCAGCAGTTCAGTTTTACCAACTGTCATGATAGCAGTTGTAACTTTAAGAACTGCAGCTGACTTCCCTATCTCTTTTCTTTACATAGCAAGTCTTTTAGATTATAGGTTGTCTTACTACTGATAAATTATTCTTGGAGCCTTTTGACTAAAGAGTAGGACAAAAATATTTTGAATACCTTGACAGTAAGACTTTGAATCACTAAATTAGAACAACTGGATTTAATTTGATATGCACAGAAGTATTACTCAGACAAGACTTTTGACTATGGCTCACACTATTCCCTTTGTAGTGCCCTTCCAAAATATAGGCAATTAGATTTAGGAAAAAAACCTGTACAAATAAAACTTTCTGTTTGCATCTTTCTATGCAGTTTTTTTTTTAATAATTAGATTTTTATTTGCATTTTTCCTAATAAAAGTTCTACAGGGATTTACCTAATATTATGCATTTTGGTATATGCTGTTTCTCATTTTCACATATGTTATTACACTACTTTTTAAAGTGGGGAACAGCATTGCAAAATTCAGAAAAGTGAGAATAGTTGTATATAACATTATTTTGGTTGTTTTTCAAAAAGAAATTCCATTTTTTTTCTTCCATCCCTAATTATAGTAAGGGAGCAAAGAATCCCTCAAATACTCCTTTCTGTATAGTAATTAGACTTGGAAAACAAACGTCCTATTTATGCGTAAAGACCTATTTTTATGAGTTTAATTACCGCATAGTTTAAGTAGGACTAAGACGGAAAACATGGCTGGGCATGACCAATAGGATTTATGATTGATTCTTTGCTTGAAAATAAATCCCACCTACTATGTTAAGCAATGCAGTCATGCAGCATGGGAAGCTGATGTTTGAGAAACAGCACAAAGTCTCTAAGGTACAACCCTGTTTTTTTAATGGATCCCAACCAATATGTTTATTTGTTTTTATGGTGGCATTAGCATTCCTTCCTTTCATGCATACATTATGACATTAAAGAGAAGTATTCCACATTTTATTTATGACAACATTTCTTTATCCATGCATTGATTTATTCACTGCTGCTTCATCCATTGTACAAGTTATTAGTGCTTATCAGTCCTTAAAGGGTATACGTGGCAGCTAGAAATTTGAAACAAAAACAGAAAGAAAGAAAAACCTCTTTGTGCTTTCTTTCTCTAATGCAACCTCTTTTTTTTTAAGAAAAACTTTTTTTAAGCCATCAACACCTGCATTTTGACAAGGATATATGCCATATGCCAACCATTCTTCCATTGCAGAGGACATAGATTATAGCTTCAGTGAACTATTTTTATTGCTGTACTTTTTTTTGCCTTTGAATCAGTGTTGACTCCTGGTGACTGCCTGGACTAATTCCTGCAGTTTTCTTGGCAAGGTTTTTCAGAAATGGTTTCCCATTGCTTCCTTCCTAAGGCTGAGAGAGAGTGACTGGCCCAAGGTCACCTAGCTGGCTTTATACCCAAGGTGGGGCTAAAACTCACAGTCTCCCGGTTTCTAGCCTGATGCTTTAAACCACTACACCAAACTGGCTCCCTGTACTATTAATACTGTGCTATTAGTGTACTAATAGTGCTGAAATAGTAATAGTGCTATACTATTAGCGCTGCACTATTAGTAGTCTTCAATGTTAAAACTGGATGATAGCAAAAACATACAAAATACAAGTTGTAAAAAATACCTACCTACAAATGTCTTTTGTACAATTCTGGCTCTCCTTAGATTGTAATTTATGGCCCATTTATTAACAAGTGGCCCATTGAACAGTCCCACTCCTCCAAAATGTGCCCTCAAGGATTGAGCTACATGTCTGCCAATTAATTAACTAGCAACTCACACACTCCTAGTGATGTAATTAGTGATGTTATTCTATGATTGATCTAAATGCAGTTGTTTTTCCAAACCTCCAACTCTATCCCCAGCTGCTGATTTTGCTTAAATTTTAGTTAGGCATAGCAGTTTTAATTGTATAGGTAGGAGAGAGTATATGATGTATATATAATGTCGTTAACAAAGGAAACAGCAGTTGGAGTTTCAGAAAATATGCCAAGTTTTTCCTTTGACCACATCATTTCTTCCTGCTGTGCGCTCAAGGATGTTCTATGCCACTTGAATTCAGTAATGGCTTTCAGGGCACTCCAAAAGAAACTGGCTTTGAACCTGCAAGGAACAATGGACCATACTAAATGAAAGATAAGAGGCTGGAGCTTGAGCAGTAGAGAGGACAAGAAGACAAATAGAAGGATTGTAGTGATTAGTGATTTTCAATTACAAAACAGAAACAAGTGTGTATGGGCCAGGCAGGGATTGCATATATAACAGAGCAGCTGCCAAGACTCATGAAGTCCACTGACAATTGTCCCTTCCTGCCACCCATATAGGGATAAATGATACTAAGCGCATCTTAAGCTTTTTAATGGTGTCTTCCATTTTTCTGGTCCATGGAAAAGGGAAAGAAAGATTCTGGCTGTGTTCATGGAAGATATTTGGTTGCTGGAACTACATTTTTTGCTTTCTGGATGATGGATTGCTGTCACAAGATGGATTGCATGTTACAAGGACTAGAAGGAATTTGTTGGCCTGAAGCATGATGAACTTGGTTAGGACAACTGAAAAATGTGGAGCTGGAAATGAAAAACTCTGTAGCAAGGACCTAAAAAATGAACAAAAAAAGTCTTGTAGAAGAAGATGAGAGTAAAGATATAATGGGCCTCTTAAACCACTCAATTAAGACTTAGGAAAACCAACAATTAATTATGATGGCTTTCAGTATCTATATACCAATATTTAGAGCATGGATAATGAACAAGGTCAGCTTGAAGCCTTAATAGAGAAAGGCAAATATGATTTAATAGCTACAACAGATAACTGGTGGGATACTTTATGTGACTGAAATATGGCAAATGGAAGATACAACTTGATCAAAAAGAACTAAAGCAGTAGAAATGGAGGGGCACTTGTACTGTATATTAACAGTATCTATTCCTGAATGAAAATCCAAGGGAATGAATGTAGTGGTACTATGAGAATTAAAATAAGTGGATGAAGTAAAATGAATACTGTTCTTGGTTTCTACTATCAGCTGCCAAAATGGAAGAAAATCTGGATGATGTTTTTCAAAAGTAAAATGCAGATCTTTCAAGCAAGTATGAATTAGTATTGCTGGAAAATTTTAATTACCAGCCTTGCCAAGCGTGGTATTCAGGAGATTGTGACTTTCTTTTTCATAGGATGGAATGAGCAACAAGTGTAGAGAACTGAAGTTGCCATATTGGAAGCAGGGAAAGGTACTTCAGTTTTAACATGGGCACCTTTGCTGTATCTCTTGGTACTTGTATGTTTGCAGTTCCTTACATTCAGTATATCTTTTCCTGAAATCGTAAAGCAGCTGTGGAAGATATGACCTGTGGATTATTCTGGTAAACTGGATAGTTTATTATCCTGGGTACAGGTGTTTTAAGGAGTTATATACAGATGTGAAATTTGCACCCTTGCATGCTCCGAAGCACCATTTTGTCTTCTGATCCAAAAACAGGGCATAGCCCTAACATATAGAATTACACTCTAGGTACAATACTATATATATATATAT